AGAAGGCTTAAGAGGTTGGGACTGACCAAAGAGGTCATGAATATTCCTGTTTAGAAAATAGTACTAGTCCAAGCAGGGTAAATAAATCTACACCCAGATACACCTTCGTGTAATTTCAAACATCAAAGCTCAGGAAGCTATCTTAAAAACAACTGGGGAAAAAAAAAAACCCAGAATACCATCCAAGATCAAAGCAAATTCACATATATGAGGTACAATATATGCCAGAGGAACATGGAACCATATTTTATTTTATTTTTTTATTTTATTTAAAAGTCTTCATTTATTTATTTGACAGAGAGAGAGCACGAGTTGGGGGGGGTGGGCAGAGGGAAAGGGAGAAGCAGGGAGCCCAATGTGGGGCTACATCCCAGGACCCTGGGATCATGACCTGAGCCAAAGGCAGGTGCTTCACCAACTGAGCCACCCAAGCACCCCTGGAACCGTCTTTTAAAAGTGCTGGTAGAAAAATCTGCCAACCCAGAATTCTGTACCTAGCTAAATATCATAAATAGGAATATAAAGTCTTATGTATTCCTGAAGACAAACCATTTTCACACATGCACAGATTCTTCCAGTCACACACCCACTGAAAGAACTACTGCAGGACGAACTTCAGACAACATGAAACTGGATCCAAACAAGGAAGAGCTATGCACAGAGCAAAGGTGTGCAAATAAATTGGTAAACATTTTGACAAATCCGTCAAAAGTATTGACAGCAGAAAATAATATCTATTTTGGCAAGGTAAAAATAAGACAACTAAAATGCTGAGACCAAGAATGGGAAAGACAAAAATGGCAGTTAAGAGTTAAAGCTTTCTAAATTTCCTCATCTTGTTCAGGGGGAGGACAGAGAAATAATTAAGTTTAAATTCCAGTAACTCAATTTCATTTCTAATGTTTTATTGCTTAAAATAGATCTGGGGCAAAAAATGACAAATGTTTAGCATTTGTTAATGCTTATTATATTGCATTATGGGTGTGTGTTGTATTGCCTCTGTACTCTTTTCTATTTTGAATTTTGTATAGTTAAAAAAAATCCTTTTCACATTAACTGAAAGGCAAATTAAGTCTTCTAGACAATTATTTCACACCTTCCTCTCCCCACAAACTTTCAACACCTCCTCTCCTTTCTCCCTCTCGGCTGATGACCTTGTTTCTCACTCCACTGAGAACACTGGAGCGATCAGAAGGGCATTCCACAGACTCCCCCTCTGCCTCTGTTCTGGCAGCCGCGGCAGCCTGCTGCTTGGCAGGTGCAGCCTGCTGGTCCCCGTCAGGACGGTCCCTCGGCTGATGGACTGACTGTGTGCTCGCTTGCCTTCGCAGGACAATACCCAGCACATAGCCCCTCACTCTCCTGCCTCATCGCCCAAAACATACAAACGTGCTGCTATTTCTCCTTTAAAAGCAAAAGCAAAATCAACTTTCTCATGCCCACACGTTCCCACCTGCTACTGCTCCATTTCTCTTCTGCCTTTTGCTGCAGAACTTGAAATAGTTCTTCCTGATGCCACCCCTCATAGCCCTCCTCCCATTGCCTTTAAACACAGTTCAGCACACCCCTATCCCCACCACTGCACTGGCCCTGCTGTCCTCGTGCTCAGGGGTGACCTCCATCTGGCGGAGTCCAAAACTTAGCCTCTGTCCTCGCTGAATGTGACTCTGTCCCACATCCCTCTCCTGGTTTCTGCAGGCAATCCTTGGTGCTCCTTGGCTCAGAGACACACACAGATCTCTGTCTCCATCTCTGTCTCCATCGGCACATGACGTCCCCTCCGTGTGTCTTCCTCTCCTCTAATAAGGACACCATTCATAGATGGGGCCCCCTACTCCACCCTGCCCCTCATCTTGCTTATACCTGCAAAGACCCAGTTTCCAAATAAGCTCACCTTCATGGTACTGAGGATAAGGCTTGAACATATCTTTGGGGGACACAATTCAATTCACAGCATAAGGCTACTAGATATTTTAAATTTAACTTGTCCAAACTGCCATTCTGGTCTTCCAATTCAAACAGGTCCCACCGGCAATTCCTCTTCCCATGTAATGTCAGGCCTACTTACCAGTTATGCAAAAATCTTGGAGTCATCTTTGGTTTCTCTCTTTTCTCACATCCCTTGTTTAGCCCCTAAAGAAATCCCATCAACACACACACACACACACACACACACACACACACACACACACACGGTATCTGACCCCTCTCTCATCACGTCTCTTGTCACTACCTTGGTTCAAGGCCCAGTGCTTTTAGTTATTACCACGCATTTGACTGTGCTCCTGAGCAACCAGCGTCCTAATGGCCAATTCCCACCCCGCAATTTTTCACTATTATAAACAGCCTTGCAATGATCATCCTCATGCTAACATTTTTGTGCCCTAAAGCAATTATTTCTTCAAGTTAAATCCTAGAAGTGGGGTTGCAGAGTCAAAGGTAGCACATTTTACAGTTTGTTTTACCTTGCGCAATTGCCTTTCAAAGGTTGGGTGAACTGGTCCCTTTTAAATGATCAGCAATTCATTTTGCTTTGTAATATGGATCTCAATTTTTGAGAAAAGTCAAGTCATTTGCTTCTTCTGTTTACTTTAAACTAAGATTTATTGTGTGCCCACCAGGCACCGGGCGCTGTGACAGACACAGAATCCTGCCCTCCCGGAGCTTAAATTCTAGCTAGGAAGACAGACTATAAATAATAAGCATGGCAAACAAAGGAACCAGACGGACTTATTGGAAGGTGTATTGGAGGCGACATCCACTGTGGTGAGAAGCAGGGATGTCCCGGTTGCCGTTTGAGATGGGGGGGTCAGGGTCAGTCTCGTGGAGAAGTCAGTCAGTAGGCAGAGGCCTGGAGGAGTGAAGTTAGCTCTGCAGCCCTCTGGGGAGGCTGTCCAGGCAGAGGGAGCACCAAGAGAGAGGCAAGTATTCAGGTAGGTTAAGTAGAAGTCCATGGAAGAGGAAGGGCCTTGGGTGAGGGGAGAAGAATCTATATTTTAACCCGAATCTAACTAATAGAACGGCATGAAAATGCCCTGCTCTCCTGCAGTCTCTCTGTGCCCCCACCAACTCCATTTTGGAGCTGGACAAAGGAAGCGATAGCAGGTCATAGGAAAGAAAGTTACCAAATTAAGTGCATTCCGCATTCAGAAAGTGTATAGATTCTCCTTTGTCTTGCTACCTGGTTGCCTCGAAAAAAAGTTCCCAGCAGACTTCTCTGCTTCCTTTTGTAAGTGTGGACATGGCTGCAAACCTAAGGAAGCTCCCACCACCCAACGCCCAACCCCGCAGGCCCCGTCTGTTACCTCAAGCCCATCCTTCTACACTCACACTCCCCTGCACACTCACGCTCACACACCTGAGTGAGGTCCAGCCCTCACACCGCTGGCTACAGAGTCCTATGAGGCACAGTCATACCCCGTGCCTTCAGACCTCGTAGTTCATGTGCTGTGATCTGTAGTCGAAGCCTTCTCTGAATTAGCTGCTTTGTCACTGCGTCACCTAGGCAGCAACCAGGTGCCTGCCCTGCTAGATGGACGGCATGCTCTTGCAGGACAGGAACTGTGTCTCACGATTCCTAGTAACCTCCTCAGCCTCAGTGGTGCCTGCTACGTCGCAGGGGCTCAAACGCTGATGGATGAGATGTGTAAGTGCATCTACGCTCAGGCAGAAGGTAGTGTGGATGTGCATCTGCGCAGTCCTTAGGACCCCGAGTCAACTCCATGATCACGTTGTGTCTTTCCCTAGAAGGTTCACATGCCAGGAAGGAGGCAGGAGGACCTTGATCAAAGGCAACTGGGTGGTGGTGGGGAACGACGCAGGTGGGCAGATCCCAGGTCCTGAAGGGGGGACCATGGGGTGGGGATGACATTTAGCAATGCCGTTCTGGGACTTTGTTCTAGACATGGGAGCATGAGCTGAGACCACACCAGGAGCAGTGAGGGGCCAAGCTTAGGAGAAAGTGACTAATCCAAACTGACCTCCATATACCAGACATCTAGTCTATGGGCTTTTGAGAGTGGGCTGGGGATGTGGAAACCAGTGTTACAACATCAGCACATTGACAGGGAAAAAAAAAAAAACCATGCTTAAAGAAAAAATATTGTAGAAAGCAAGTTAGTGAGCCGAATCCTAGCCAGGCTTCAGTTTCTTTGAAGGAACCGGCCAGGGAAGCTCTGGTAGGGCAGATCAACCCATGTTCTGCAAGGGGATGTTTCATGAGGCCTCTTGGGAACAGGGACTGCAGCAAATGAGTGCCACATCACCAAAATGTACCAGGCATGGGGCATGGGACGCCAGACGCCTTGCAGTCACCACTGGACAGTGGGGAGGAGAGGCAGAAGAGTCTGTTGAGCACCAAGGTCCCAGGAGACATCTAATGCCACTAGGCAGGGAGGTGCCCCATCTGAATCATGCCCTGGTTTGTACAAACAAGAGACCCAGGCACCATGGCCCTCAGCCTGCCATCTTTGGGCCAAACTTTAGAGAGCACTGTGGTCCGGGGAGGGGGGTCCCTTTCTCACTGTTAGACACGCTGGGATGTGGGGACAGCAGGGTCTGTTCCATTTACAAGCCACGGTGAAAGGAGAGAGAAAACAGGGCTGTGTCAGTCATTTTCATCCAGAAACAGTGTCAGACGGGGAGGTCGAATTATGCCCTAGTGCAGAACAACATGAGCCCTGGAGGACCAGCCTGGGACCTGGGGAGCTGACCATCAGGATTTGGGAAGAAATGTCTCTTCTGCATCTCCAACGGGTGGCTCCTATGTGAGCATCTCCAGCACCATCTCCAAGCAAGATTGTCCCTGCCCAGAAGAGGAAATTCAAGGACAATGTTCCTTAGGTTTGTGGTCAGAAACTCTGATTTATATCTCATTCAACACCCTCCCAAGTGCTGAGACTTGGGAAAACACTCCGCTTGGGTAAGGGTTGTGTTGGAGCAGCGGAGTGAGAGATGGCCTCACCACTGCCCTGAGGTAAGCAACGTGGTGTAGAGATAACTTTTCATTCTATGAATTTGAATCTTTGTTCCATGACTCACCATCAACCCAAATAGTTAAGGTGGTAAATTCATGGGTTGTGGATTGCTGGTTGTAGGAATTTTTCCCCCCATAAAATACAGCATACAAGGGTTATAAACACACAATACAGATTATCAGACTATAAAAAGGCATAACAATACAATATGATTCATTGCTGGCATGGGCACAATATTTTGCTGGAAGATTAAAGACTATGTGACTTAAATAACTTTTATTGTAATGCTTTCAACAGATCTCCTAACAGGGAAAACAAACGGATTCTGCCTAGTGATATGACTGGTGAGTAGTACCCAATAAAATCCCCCAGAGGGCTATTCATCTCTCCAGTCTAGCTGAGATGGTTGCACTTTGGTGCACGTTTCCCAACCAGACCCGGCAGCTTCTGGGCTGCGCGGTAATATACCAGTCTCCTAGGATGCGCCCGTTTGGCTAAATATAGCGCGTGTCCTCCCAGTAACGCGGCAGACGGGGAGTAATTGATGCTCCCGTCCCTCCTCCCACTCTCCTGCACAGGCTCTGTTGGATTCCGTCCAGGAATTAATTTGTGGTAATCTGGTCCCCAAATAAATAACTTTTGTCTTTATACGGCACCTTGAGTTTCCCAAGGAGCTATATGCAGCCCGGACAACGGGCACTTTGCACATGACCGTGGGGAGACCCTGCTCAGGGCATCTACAATTCAAATGCAGGGATGAGGGCTGAAGTCATCAATCTGTCCTGTCTGCCGCTTGCAGGCCGAGCTGGAGGTGGGGCTTTCGGCACTGTCCCCCGAAGAAGATCTGGAAGCAGTGACAAGGGGAGAGTCTTGATGTCCTTCCTCCTCGGGCTTGACGCACAGGGTGCTGGCAGAGCGTTCCATCAGAATAGAGATGCTCTGTGTCCGAGGAGTGGTACCCTGTCTGCTCCGGCCCCTGGATTGGCTGAGCCGGCGAGCAGGGCAAACGCCGAGTTCCCCGGAGTTGCTGGCAGCCTCCTGCTCTTTGTTCTGCAGAATGTGAAAATAGTGTAAATAGCAGCATCTGCGGCTGCTCCTGCGGCTCTGACCGCCAGCCAAATCCTTCTGTTCTCCCTGTCGAGCCATCCACATGCTGCACACACGCGTGAACTGCGGAGCGGGAGCAGCGTGTAGACCCGGGGAGCGCGGCGAGCACGCGGGCGAGTGTGCCTTCCGCCCCACTCCCCTCATTCAGGGCCACCCCTGGGGGGACACTCCTGCGCCTGGACTGGGGGTCCCCAGCTGGGGGTGCCACACCACGGACCTTCCCGGCATCTACCGGGTGACTGTGCAAAATGCGCGCTTGCCCTTTCTCCCCCCCAACAGCCTGCAGAAGGGCCACACATCATTCCTTAATAGCTGTAGGAACCTCAGCTGAATTTTATGCTTTGGAATTTTTCAAGAGAGGATTAGTCTTCTTCACTGGCCCCCTGACGATAATGAAATGAACCCTGGCATGAGTGACTCAACGAATTCTGCTGTCGATGGCCACCAACAAATTTCACATTTCGTCTAGAAGCTTTCCATGTGGCCAGCCCCAAAGTGTTCATTTTTCTTGGATGTTATAATTTCCTTTCTCTGTCTCCCGTCTTTGTTAACTGACAAAAGAAAAGGCTGTTATTTTCAGTATGTCAAAAGAATCTGCATTGTTTTCCTATCTAAGTGACAGATGTCACCGGACTGTGAATTGTATCCTAAAGTTCTCAACAGCCTGATCAAAATTAATGTCGTCTTGATTTTAGAAATAAGTTGTCACATGGTTAGTGTGATAGCTTTATATTATTATAACTTCCATAGCATCCTGAGTCTCACTCCAAGACAGCCTTAGCATAAAAATGCAGAATTCCCATCTATATTTATCCCTTGTTTTTTAATGTGTATCTTTCTAGTACATGTCAACCCCAAGGACATAAAATGCTTGTCTCTGAGGAGCAGCCTGTAATTGTGTTTAAAAAATACACACCAGTAACTCTTCTGTGCATAGAAAATTCTGCACACTGCTGGTGAAGTATGTGTGCACAAATGGTAATCTGTTCTGTGGTCATTAAAGGTTAAAACTGGCAAAGACCTGAAATGTTCTAGGACTAAAGCAAGTAGAGGTGTATTTTCAAGCTAATAGTAAATGATAGTCTTCAGAATTTCAACCAGGGTCACCTGGCTGGATCAGTCGGTAGAACATGCAACTCTTAATCTTAGGATCATGAGTTCGAACTCTACTAAAGCGTAGAGATTGCTTGTGTAAAATGTGGGAGATTTCCAAGAAGTCAATGGAGTCTATTTGTTAAATTCCTTTTTTGTTTTTCTGTTTTGTGTGTGTGTGTGTGTTGTTGTTGTTGTTGTTGTTGTGTATAATTTACTATTGTTTTGCCATCCCAAGACAATAAGGGTTTGAATTTTTATGGTATATATGTCAAGGGGTGGAAAATTAGAAATAGTTCAGGAAGTAATTTTTTCATGAATTATCAAACAGATAGGAAAGTGCTGAGGAGAATAAAGAGAAAATAAAGGGAAAAGCAAACATCCTGAGGGACACAAGACCAGGAAAGTTCTTGATGTGGACACCCTCACCCTTGACAGCCCAAGGCCACTGCTGCCTTTTCCAGAGGCTCTGAAGAAACCCCACAGCCAGACCGGCACAATACTTTTCGATTGACTTACAGATCACAGCTACAGCACCAAGTCAGCCAGACTATAAAATGGTTGCTTGCTTAGGCTCTGCTCCCAGCACACTCTGAAGAGATCTTTCTGCTCTCATGATCAGACTGTGAGGACTGTTTCAGATACTAACATTTTCCTCTCCTGGTTCGTTGCTTCCTGTAGGAAGCAAGTCCTGAGAAGGGGAATTTTTTCCTCTCCCAGAACTTCAAGTCTAGAACATCCCTTCTAGGCTGCAGATTGACCAGTTGGGGGATACACCCAGGGGATCCACTGGCACTGAGCCTAAAAGTAGGGTATAGGGTGGTGACCACGCTCCCTGGCCCTCCTCCGTCCAATGTCTGCAGGACAGAGATTATAACTGTGGTTTCAGAGTGTGATGGGTCAACTGTATGTGTCAACTTGATAGGCTAAGGGATGCCCACATAGCTGGGAAAACATTATTTCTGGGTGTGTTTGTGAGGGTGTTTCTGGAAGGGGTGAGCATTCCAATCAGTAGACAGAGTACAGAAGATCACCCTCACCAGTGCAGGTGGACAGCATCCAGTCCATTTAGAGCCTAAATCAAACAAAAAGGCAGAGGAAAAGTGAATTCTTTCTCTTCTTGAGCGGGAGAACCCATCTGCTGCCCTTGGACCTCCATATATTCCTGGTTCTCGGGCTTGCAGAGGCAGACGGCACTATGCCACCATCTTTCCTGGTTCTCCAGCTTGCAGATGGTGCATCTTGGGATTTCTCAGCCTCCACATAAGCCCACTCCTTTAATGAATCTCCTATATATCCTTATATATCTACATGTGTCCTGTTGGTTCTGTTTCTCTGGAGAACCCAGGGTCCTCTGTAGAGACACTGGCCATAAGTGCAACTGTTCAAGAATGTTCACTACCCCTTAGCCTGAAATATTCTCCAAAGCCGATATGATTGAATTTAATGGAGAAACAAAGAAGAAGAAGAGATTGGTTCATGTGGGAAAGTCAACATAGCATGGGTGATGCCCCTCAAAGGGGCAAATAAGGCCTTTACCACCAAAATGCTAGTATTCCCATGGGCCACCTGATGATAGCAGACCAGACAAGTTGACTACTGCCCAATCCGATGTAAAGACAGAAAATCTATCAGTTGGATTGGCATGGGAAGACCAAGCTATGCTTGTAGAAATCACTCACTTTAGAGGGAAATGTGCACCAGGAACTCATGGAATGGACAGGAGAGTATTCGGAGGCGGAAGGGTAAGGAGGTGATTAATGAAAACTGGTATCTGTTCATGTCAGCACAGATACTGCCCGTTTTTCATGAAATGTAGAAATTAGAGGGTATAAAGTTTTCAGAGAAATCCTTCTCAAACGTTAGGCCTCATCCCAAAGCCCTTCCTATTAGACGACTTCCCCAGCACCACCCATTTCCTGGGCAGCTCTAGCCCAGACCCCAACTCTCTCAGCATTCTGTCCCTACCTCACTTGCTCATAGTCACATGTGTGTTTTGTGCCCTTGCCAGAGGCAGACTCCTTGAGGAAGGGACTCCATTTTTCCTACCTTTATATTCCCAGAGAAACCTAACTTGGGGCTTCACATAAGGAAGCTACTCCAAAGTGTTGGTTGGTATCAATAAAAATTTGTAATAATATAAACAAGTTTTATAATATTTTATTTTTTTATTTAAAGTAAATTAGCCAAGGTATAGTACATCATTGGTTTTTGATATAATGTTCAAAGAAAAAAATCCCCCAACATGAACATAGACACCAACAAAACATTGAAAAAGAGGTTCTTCTCAAACATCATCAATCATGGAGGATGGTGTTGTGGGTTCTAATATTCCCCCACTCACTGAATTCTTGTGACTACACCCCGAAGATCATTTCCCAGCTCCTCAGTCCCAGTAGAACTGAACAAAAAGAGAACAAGACAGAGACACAACACTGCAGAACCAGAAGGATAAGACACACTCCTGCAAGAGAGTTTCCTGTGCCCCCAGAGTGCGGACACAATGTGAGCCGGAGGAGGGGATCATGTGGTACTGAGGGGAGGAGGGAGGTCTTGGAGAAGTCCCCCAGGAGCATTGCAGGCTGGATGAAGCTGAGGTAACACCAAGCAGATGCGATGCTGCCATCCAAAACACCCCCAGTTGCCTGTCCAGTCAGCCACATGCTCATTGGGAATTGGCTTGTTGGACACTCTGAGCTCTGGACACTTCTCCGCACAGACCTGCAGGGCACCCTCCCAAGGGGACAACCTCTTGTCCTAAGTCTTAGACAGTATGAAGTCCCAGAACTGACATCTCATGATTTAGAGGCAGTATGAGGGAAAGTCTCAGCCCAGCAAAGATGGGACTACACAGGCCAGTCTCATGCTAGTACGCACTGAAATTACTCTATTAGGACAGGTGCATGAATAGGGCTCTACAGTCTGGACCGATTTCTATAAGTATGAGATTTCTATGATGTCTATAAATTCATAAATTTTTACATGTTCATACATATATAATGAATATATGTTTGTGGATTACTTTCTCAAAAACCTTCATGTGAAATTGAATCTCTAGTAAGAGGCACTATTTTCATCTTGTATCCATGGTACCCTTCTTCTGCCTCCTCCTTCCATGAGAATATTTGTAGAGAAAGGATGTATAGAGCTCTAGGCTGTAGTTAAAGAGAAATTCAAGAGAATAGGTGGCACATGGGTGGGCAGCTCAGTGGGATGTGAGAGTATGGAGGATGGGTCATACACTGCCAACAGCCGAGTCTGCCCAGCTTAGACCGGACACATGGTCTACCGCATGGACCATCTCAATCGAATCAGTATTCCAAGTGGACCAAATTAGTTCATCAAACATAAAAGTACTTCAAATGACTTTTTTTTAATAGAGTAGTTATCTGATCAAATGTACTAGATTAATATATGCTATATGTATACACATATCTATGTATAGCATCAAATCATCTTGCTTTAGAATTATATTTTATAGTTTAAAAAATCTCAACAAGACTGAAAATACTCTCTTTGATAACAGAGATATGACATTATACATTTGTCCAAACCCATAAAGCATACCACATCAAGAGTGCAGCATAACATACATTATGGACTTGGGGTGATTTTGAAGGAGGCATATGCAGAGTCATTTGTTGCAACACATGTACCACTCTGGTGGGGGACCCTGGTAATGAAGGAGGCTGTGGATGGTGGGGGGAGGGGGCATGTGAAAATCTCCGTACCTTCTCTTCAATCTTGCTATGAACCTCAAACTACTCTAAAAATATAGTCCTCAAAATATTTTTAAAAACATCTACCAGCATATGCCATCCAGTCTGGTTTTCATAATCTCCTCCTCGGGTGGTTAGTGTGTGGACCACTGACATCTTTTCAGACATTAATAAATGAGGGTTAAGTGGTTGAGTACATCTCCTGAAATGGAAGTGGCAGAGCACACCTCAGATCTTCCAAATCCATCATGCCCCTTGTACCTTCCCCACTCATGACCGTTGGTCCAAGTAGAAACTCCCTCACTATGGTGATAATTTTATCAGAGGAGCTGTCTGGAAAAAGCTGTGGAGATGTTCATGATTACAATAGTGCTGGAAACCCAAAGAATTACAAAGAAGTTATGTGTCCAGACTGGTATGTGTACAATGGGAGGTTGAAACTTCATCACTTCAATAACAAAGTTGAAATAGCTTCCCATCAAACTCATGGAGCCAGATCCACACCAGTGCCTCTCTGTGGATGATAAATGTGCTACTTTAAAACATACTTTCCACACCCTCTTTGTGTATCGTATTGAACGTGCAAATGTTAGTCATGGCAGGACCGTGACGTTAGTCAAAAGACCTGCCACCACTCTGAGAAACAAACGGAGGGTTCTAGAGGGGAGGGGGTGGGGGATGGGTTAGCCCGGTGATGGGTACTAAAGAGGGTACGTTCTGCGTGGAGCACTGGGTGTTATGCCCAAACAATGAATCATGGAACACTACATCCAAAACTAATGATGTAATGTATGGTGATTAACATAACAATAAAAAATTTAAAGAAAAATAAAACACCTGCCACCAGCCGTTCAGGCCCAAGAGAAACAGTTAAGGTGTTTCTTGTCCTTTCTATTTACAGAGGAGATTTGGGGCCAATTGAATTGTATTCCCAAACCTTTTGTTTGATTATAGGTTTCCTGAATAAACAGGTAGATGTTGTAATATACTTATTGAGAACTAAGGCTTAACATAAAGATACTGGTTATCCAGACTGGATTGATTTCATGAGAGAAACGTTCTTCAGTCCATGACCATGTGGACTATACAAAAAGCATTTTATTTGTTTTGAAGACGTTTATTTCTAGGCCAGGTCTTGTGCCACATAAATCTCCCACGTGGAGTAATTCCTCCCTCCCACAAACCATTGTGTGACATCTTCTCTGTCATCTTTGGCATTTCATAGACCGCACGTATACTGTTGTTTTACCCCCAGTTTGGCAGACAGCAAGTGCGTGTGATCTGCGCTTACCTGGCAACACAGACCCCCAAGGGAGCTGAGAACCACAGTGTATTAATTGAGCAAGTCCTTGGGGCATTGCCTCCCACCTTAAGCAGCTTATCAATCTTTGGAAATGCCTCAAAAACTTAGAAATAAAACTACCATATCATCTTGTAATCCCACTTCCAGGTATTCACCCAAAAGCAATGAAATCAGGATCTTGAAGAGTTGCTAGTACTCTGTGTTCAGTGTGATGCTATTCACAGTAGACAAGACGCGGAAATGACCCAAATGTCCTCTGATGGGTGAATGAGTGGACAGTATGCGGCATATGCATGCACTGGAATATGATTCAGCCTGAAACCAAACCCTTCAATGCATGACATCACAGATGAAGATAGAAGGGGTTATAATAATGAAATAAGTCAGTCGCAGGACAAATACTGCATGATTGCACTTCCATGAAAAATCTAAGAGAAATCTAAGGTATAAAATTTCAGGTATTCAGGATGAAACTTGCAGCAAACTCTAGACAATCTCTAGTATCTCTAGTTAACAATCCTCTATTGAACACGTAAAATTCGTTATGACTTTGGATCTCATGTTAAGCGTTTTTACCACGATAAAACAGAATTAACAATAGTAATAATGGGGAAATCCACTTAAAAGGCAAGGACTATTACAGATAATGCCACTGAGGTTTAAAGACGTAACTAAGTGCCAGCTCTTCTCGAGACAGAGCCAGGACCCACTGGGGGGCCCCCTCCCTGGAGCCCCATCCTGACTCTGTGCTGGGCCTCCCATCAAGCTGTTTCCTGTCAGTCACTCTACGTAGGTGTCATCACCCCAACTTCATG